ACAGATCAGTAATSCTTTATTAAGCAGAGGAGGGGCATATTTTCAAGAGAGAAAATGGCCATGGGCTACAATAAGGGTCCGAGTTTTATAGGGTTAAGCAGGGCCAGGTCATGGGAGGAGTTGGTCAGTTACTTTTGATGGGCTTACTTTTGGAGGGCAGAGGGATTTTGACAGATAAGGGAGATTCCTGAGCTCCCTTTTTCCCTGAGGTTTTTGTAAGTCTCCATTTCCTTCAATGTTATCTTCAGACATTGTTCCCAAAATCATGTGGTTGAGAACTACTGTTTTAACTGAAGCACCGAGATATTATAAACAAAAAACTACAACCTCCTTCCCCTAAGAAAACTCACTAAAATGATTTCTGAGATGGATCCTCTCTTGAAACTTTAGAGGATTTTGACAAAAGCAGGAAGATAAATACAGTTAGTTATAAAAGGTCAAATATGAAATATTGAGGAGGTGGGTGTGGTGGTGCACACACATATAAGCCCAGCTACTCAGGAGGCTTAGGAAGGAAGACCGAAAATTCAAAGCCAGCCTGGACACCTTAGTGAGACCTTTCTCAAAATAAATAAAATAAGATAAAAAAGGGCTGGGGATGTAGCTAGGTGGTAGAGTGCCCCTGGTTGGATCCCCAGCATGGTTGTTGGTGGTGTACTAGGTGTGGGCCATAAAGAGTTGCCAACATGAAGTGGCTTGGGAAGCTGAGGCAGGAGGTTTGTGAGTTCAAAGCCAGCCTCAGCAATTTAGTGCGGCCCTAAGCAACTCATCGAGACTCTGTCACTAAGTGAAATATAAAAAAGGGCTAGGAAGGGCTGGAGTTGTAGTTCAGTGGTAGGTGCTTGTCTATTATGTGTGACTTGTCTATTATGTTTGACTCTCAGTACCACATAAAAATAAATAAATAAAGTAATGTTATTGTGTCTATCTATAACTAAAAACATATTTTAAGAGTGTGTGTGGAAGGGGGCTGGGAATGTGACTCAGAGGTAAGCACCCCTGAGTTAAAAAAAAAAAAAAGAAAGAGTTGCCACTAACCTAATCTAGCACTATCAGAAAAAAGGCTCTTCTTCCAGACACTTTTTTTTTTACTTCCATCTATTGAAAAAGTCATATTAATTTGAATGAAACAATTTACTGACATCAGCAGGGAAACTGTCAAAATAAATACTTACACAAATCTATAAAGAGGAATATGAAAGGCATTCCCTAGGGTATGGAGAGCACAGTTTATACAACAAAAAGGGGGTGGCCCCAGGATCTCTTACAAATAGACCAGAATGAGAGTTACCCAGATTCTATGTGACAGAGCCATTACAGAAATGATAGCCTTTAACACACAAATGGTTGGAGGTGGGCTACCAGATTCATTGAGGCTGAAAGGAGAAGTATAAACTGCTGGAATAGTTTTCCAGATCAAGGAAATTATGGGTGAGAAACCACCAGAGAAGGGGGTTGATGGTGACATCTACAGTAACTATGAAACTATCCATGAGAAAAAGTCAGTTTTAGTTGCATGAGGTGATGCATGCATGTAATCCCAGTGACCAAGGAGGCTGAGGCAGGAGGATAGCAAGTTCCAGGTTAGCCTCAGCAACTTAATGAGGCCCTAATCAACTTATCAAGACCCCCCTCCCCCAATAAAAAATAAAGATAGCTGGGGACAAGCTTAGTGGTGAAGCACCACTGGGTTCAATCCTCAGTATCAAAAGAAAAAAGCTAGTGTTAAACATCTTTTAAATCCGGGAGTATTAAATCATCACCTGGAGGTAAAAGTTAAGAACATTCTTGCTTTTCTTTCCTTTCCTCTCTCCCCTTCCCTTTGGCTTGTGTTAGTAAGCTGGGAGAGGAGGAGAAAGACTAGGTAAGGTTAGAGAAGACTATGCTCCCGTCTCCAGAACAAGCAGTGAGCCAGTTGTCCTCATCTGGAGAAGGAAAGGTTTCACTCTTCGTGACTCCATGACCATAGAACTTTTTTTTTTTTTTTTTTTTTTTAAGCAGGGTTTAAACCCAGGGGCACTTAGTCACTGAGCCACATCCCAAGCCCTTTTTAAAAAAAAATTGGTTTTAAAAAATATATTTTAGAGACAGGGTCTCACTGAGTTGTTTAGGCATCAACAAGTTGCTGAGACTGGCTTCGAATTCACCATCCTCCTGCCTCAGCCTCCCGAGCTGTTGGGAGCTTGCTTTGCATTGCCTGGTGACCACAGGACTTTCTATTTTTAGGAGAGACCATAGAACACATGGAATCTACTTGAGTTTTCAACTGGGTGTATGAAAGATCTATTCCCACTGGAATGAGTTTAAAGGGATGACAAAAAATAAAGTTCTTTTTAAAAAATTATACCCCATAAGCCCTATAAAATTGAACATTTTGGTTCTGTGTCATCAAGTAGATCTACAAAATCTATCTTCCAAGAACATATACTTGCATTTTGGAGGGGGAAAATGGTCATTGAATCAATTCATTTGTTTTCTGAGAATACATACTTTGGGCTTAAGGCACTTAAATGCAAGGAAATCCTTGCCCTCTGGGAGCTTACATCTTGGGTTTCATGCAAAGTATGTTATGAACTTTAACAGTTATGTCAACAAGGGACCTATGTTGCTTAAGTGGAGAAGAGTTAGGAGGATTTTGATTCTAAGGATTCACTCACAATTTTTACTTTTTTTTTGGTGCTGGGAATTGAACCCAGGGCCTTGGGCATGCTAGGCAAGCACTCTACCACTAAGCCACATCCCTAGCCCTTATAATTATTATTTTTTTAATTTTTAGTTGTAGTTGGACACAATACCTTGATTTCATTTATTTATTTTTATGTGATGCTGAGAATTGAACCCAGTGCTTCACACGTGCTAGGTGAGCACTCTACTGCTAAACCAAACCCAAGCCCTTAATTAAGATTTTGAAGCTATCATATTGCCCTCATTCTCCAAGCACAGAGTAAACCTTCTATTTGAGATGTTTAGAGAGAGATACAAGCCAAATGTACAGATTGCATCTTGACTGAGCTACCACGAAACCAGTCCTTAGTGGAGCAGATTTAAAAACTTACATTTCACTTCACTCAAGTTTAATCATGCTCCAAGAAATTCATTTGGATAAAACATCTTCATAATTCAACCCAGTGAACAAAAGCCGATTTAGAAATCATGGTGTGAATTTATTAATTGATGAAGATTGTAGAGCTAGTACAATTAGTCCTACTAATGTGTCTTAGACAATCACTTCTCATCAGATGTCTTGATTTACTTAAGAGAGCCTCTAAGTGATGAAAAGGCTACTTGTTGAAGTTTGGGATCAGAGTGTGGGCCTTTCTATGTTCATAAAGGACATACAAAATTTAAATTTGCTAGGATATAAATTTCATGAAGGCAGAGATTTTATTTGCTGACATTATCTTAAGAGGCCAGAACACAGAAAGAACTCAGAATCTGTTGAAACTGTAAATCAGAATTTACATTTATATGTACGCATATACAATTATATACACGAGTTATATATGCATATACATACATATCTTTATATATATATATATATATATATATATATATATATATATATATATATATATATATATATATATATATATATATATATATATATATTATATATACACACACACTTTTTTTTTTCCTTCCCATCTCCCTGTTGCTGAGGATCAAACCCAGGGCCTTTCACATGGTAGTCAAGTGCCCTACCACTGAGGTATATCCCCATCCCCGAAGAATTAAGACTGTTAATTGCCCTGGAAAAAGGTATTTGGACCTGGTCTTAAGAATCAGTTACCTCTCTCTTGGACAGAGTGGGAGGCTTGCAACACATTCTTATTCAGATTCTGCTGGTTCTAGACTCTTTGTGGACCCCACCCTTCAGTTATGACAGCATCAATTTGGCATGAGACAATTAGGTTACAGATGATTTATTTTAGTCTCTCTGACGAAATTTGGGAGCCACCTTGGTCTCTGTAACACATTTACAGATCATCTCATAGGGTGACTTTTTATTTCTATAAATCTTGTCCCGAGTTCTGTGAGGGTTCTTGTTTTATATTTTCCAGCTTACCGACTTGCAGCTCAGGCAGGTAGGGGACAACCGAATTGTGATAGTTCATATTTTTACAGACCCCCAGAGTTCTTTGTGCAGGTGTGGATCTACCCGCCCTCAAGGAGTCCAAAAGGCGGAACACTGCGTTTTTCTCAATGGAAGATCTCAAAGCCCTTAACAGACTAAAGCAAAGAAGAGATTGGCTGACTATTCATATGGTTGTGAGCCTGAGGGAGTTGCAGGGTTGGTCTGGGTGGCTACGTAAGCAAGGACAGACTCCTAGGCTCAAAGAACTCTTTTTATTTTTTTTGTGAGACAGGGTCTCACTAAGTTGCTTTGCTAATTTGAATTTGAGATTCTCTGCCTCTTTTCGGCCCTGCCTCTGAAACTCCAGCTTAGTATATGAAGCTCCCTGCGAGCATGCAGCTTTGCAACTTYCACATTCCCGAACCCTCTTGTTAACAGAGCTCTATGATCTCTGTGGAGTCTAGGTCAGGTCTTTGGGTGAACAGGGTGGGGGAGGGCGAGCAAGGCGCAGGTGCAGCCCGATAGTCCCCGTCTAACCCACACAGCTGGGAATGGGAACGTGAGTCACCACTCAGGCCTGCTAGGCGGCTTCCGTACTCCTCATCAAGATGAGGGCGCCTCGTACTTTTCTGGCATCCTGAGGGGGGCAAGGCACCCTCGGCAGAGACCAGCCTTACCCTTAGACTTCCGGATTTTCCTTTTATCCCCTACGTCCCCTTCCCAGTTTCCTTTCTCCTTCCCTTGGTCAGGCACGCGCCTAGCTTCTCACACCCTAACTCAAAAGTTCAAGTGTTGACTGGGGAAGTAACTCAACCCACAAGCCCGCTGACTGCGGCGCTGAGGCCAGGGAGTGTGGAACACATAGCCGTCCTGGCGGCGCACTCGCCCCGCCCCTCCCACGCACGTCACGTCCGGCCAGGCCCCCGCCCTGCGTTCTCCTCTCGCTCGCCGTTAGGGAGGCTCTGCGCCTCAGCCGCTGCCTCCGTTGCCGCTCCCGCCCCTCCTTTCGCGTCTCCGCCGCTGCCACCGCCGGGGAAATCCGGGGGTCGCTACCGGGCTGGCCCCGTGCCATTGCCGTTGCTTCAGCTTTCCTCCAGCGGCCACCTCAGGAAGAGGCTTGACGGTCGCGGAGTCACTTGGGGCCTCAGTTCTCGCTCTCTTGCTGTCGCTGCAGGTCCTGGAGAAGCGGCCGCGGCCGGGAAACGGGGCTTCGCGGTTCCAACGGTAGGTAAAAGGGCGGGTATTCGGGTCTGCGCATGCGCGGGTCGCCCCTCGCTGCGGCCCTCCTCTCTTTGCCGCCCCCCAGCGCCGAGTCCCACCCCTGCGGGCTCCACTGTGTTGCTTTTTGGTGTACAGAACTGGGGCAGCGCCCTGCAGGTGGGCATTCAGTAGAGAGGACCCCGTTTCTGGTGGAGAAAGAAGAAGGTGGGGCTGCCGGGGGGGTGTGGCAGTCTTCGATTTTCAGCCGTGGCAGTGCGCGTGAACGTCTGTGCCCCTCACCTCCTAGGTTCCCTAAAGTAGAAGACACAACGCCCCATGTTTGCTTGCTACCCTCCCCTGCCCTTAGGCCCTGCGCCACCGTGGTGCCCACTTCCTTCATGCTGGGCAGTGAAGTTGATGGAGGAAAAAAAAGTGTGGTTTATTCCGGGCTCAGCTGCGCCCCTTTTAGAGGTCACGTGAGACCAGTGGTTGTTGACTTCCTTAAATCGCCTAGAGAATATATCCAAAATTGGGCTGTTGGTGCACTGGGGCCTCACGAAGAACGCAGTCTGCAGAAACCAGGCCAGAGGGGTCCCTTTGTAGTAGGGCATTACGTTTCAGATTGGGCTTCTGATTTCCTAGATAAGGTTTATAGGAATTGAATCAGTTGGCTCACTTGTCCAGTGAGAAATTGTTAAACATTTTTTTGTAATCAATTAAAACCAAATTAATTTTTACAAAAAACGGTCGCATAATTTTATTCGGTTCTCCATTACATCGTCTAATCAGTGAAAAAAAGTTGGACATTTACCATACTTTCAAGGATCTAAGCTAAAAATGGCATCCAAAACCATTGTAATGCTGGGGTGCGTTTGTTTATAGAAGTAGACTTTTTTTTGAATTTCGAATTATTTGACTTTCTCCAGCGGGATTCATGTGGGTTTATGTCTTCGTGTCTTAATCTTGAAATACTTGTTTGCCTGGGTTTCTCACACGTACTCTGTACATGGTAAATACTTGTTGAATGGAATTGAGTAGTCATTTTTTGTATATCCGTTAGGTGCCCTTCATACTTTCTTAATCTGTGCATTTTTTAATGTTAGGGTAATAKTCTCTCCAGTTTAATGTCTTCCCAGTTAGGCATTTATGTGACACAGCTTAAGTCCTTGGAAGATGTAGAAGGGCATATCACAATGGTATAAAATTCTTCATAGAGTGCAGAGACTATTGCATTGTGGTTTTATTAGAATGTCTTTTAAAGACAGAGTGGCTGAAATGAATATAGTGACTTGTGTTTCTCCACCAATAAAATACTTTTTTTTTTTTTTTGGTATCAGGTATTGAACCCAGGGGTTAACCACTGAGCACCTTCCCCAGCTCTTTTTTTCTTTTTTCTTTTAAGACTGGGTCTTGCTAAGTTGCTCAGGGCCTGGCTAAATTGCTGAGGCTGGCTTTGAACTTGTGATCCTCTTGCCTCAGCCTGAGCCACTGGGTTTAGAGGCATGCACCACTATGCCTGGTGACAACTACTTTTTTTTTTTTTTTTTTTTTAGTTTTCAGCAGACACAACATCTTTGTATGTGGTGCTGAGGATCGAACCCAGGCTACATGCATGCCAGGCGAGCATGCTACGGCTTGAGCCACATCCCCAGCCCGGACAACTACTTTTATTATCATGTGCAAATAACCTTGACCTGTCTGTGCCTGGCTCCCCCAATGTATACTAATTTTAAAGTTGGGGGCTGTTTTGTGTAAATTGCCTTATAAATTGCCAAAGTGTTTTGTTTTTTTTTTTTTCTTTCCAGTATTGGGTATTGAACTCAGCGGTACTTTACCACTGAGCCATATCCTCAACACTTTTTAAAAAATTTGAGTCAGGCTGGCCTTCACCTTGGGATCTTCCTGCCTCAGCCTCCTAAATTGTTGGGATTCCTGGCCTGTGTTAACTATGCCCGGCTAACTTTTAGGACTGGGGATGTGGCTCAGTGGTAGAGGGCTTCTGGTTTCAATCCCCAGTACTAAAAAAAATAAATTTTTTTTCTTTATTTTGTACCAGGATTGAACTCAGCGGCACTCAACCACTGAGCCGCATTTCCAACCCTATTTTGTATTTTATTTAGAGACAGGGTCTCATTGAGTTGCTAAGTGCCTTGCCATTGATGTGGCTGACTTTGAACTCAGCCTCCCCAGCCTCTGGGATTACAGGCCTGTGCCACTGTGCCCTGTTTTAATTTTTTTTTAATGTGTTGCTGGGGATGGAACCCCAGAGCTTTTCATACTTAGGCAAGCCCTCTACCACTGAATAATACCCCATCCAAAATAATTTTTGAAAGAATTGTGGTAAAATATAACCTAAAACTTTACCATTTATCATTATTGTGAATCATTTATTGTGATAAAACATACCATAGCATAGAATTTACCGTTTTAATTCTTCCCCTCCCCAGTACCTGGGATTGAACTCAGGGCCTCACACATGCAAGGAAGTACACTATCACTGAATTACAACTGCAGCCATGTTTATTTTGAGACAGTGAAGTTGTTTTGGCTTGCCTGAAACTTGTGAACCTCCTGCTTCAGTCTTGCAAGTATCTGGGATTATAGGTGTGTTATATTGCACTTGGCTTAACCATTTTTCAATGTATAATTCAGTGGCATTAAGTACAAAACAATGTGGTATCATATCACCATTTTGTTTCTAGAACCTTTTCTTGTTTTTCAGTACTGTGGTTTGAACCCAGAGGCACTTTACCACTGAGCTACATTCCTATCCCTTAAAAAAAAATGTTTTTTTTTTTTTTTTGAGACAGGTCTCACTAAGTTGCTTAGAGCCTGCCTCAGTCTCCCAAATCACTGAGATTATAGGCGTGTGCCATTTTACCCAGCTCCATAGTTTTTTATGTAGAAACTCTGTATCCACTAGACAGTACTTTCTCATTCCCTCAAAAGTTACCCCTGGTAACCTCTGTTCTATTTTCTTTCTTTGTGAATTTGTCTAGGTTCTGTATGATTTAAAATCATATGATATTTATCCCTTCGTGTCTGGCTTATTTCTCTCTTTTCCTTTTTTTTTTGAGTGGGAATTGAGTTTAGGGTGGGGTAATCACTGGGCTGCGTCCCCAGCTCTCTTTTGTTGAAACAGGGTCTTGCTAAGTTGCTTAGATCTTGCAAAGTAGTTGCTGAGGCTGGCCTCAAACTTGGGATCCTCTTTCCTCAGCCTCCTGAGTTGCTGGGATTACAGGTTTAGGCAACCATGCCTGGGTCCAGCCCTTTTTAAATACTTATTCWGTGAGACAAGGTCTCAACTGAATTGCCAGGGCTGTCCTTGAACTTGTGATCCTCCTTCCTCAGCCTCCCCAAGTCCCTGGGGAATTAGAAGTATGCACCACTGCTCTAAGCATGTTTTTAAAGGTTTATTCACTTTTTTTTTCCCCCCTTTGGGCATGATAAGTATACAGTCTACCACTGAGGTATAGGCCCAGCCCAGGCGGCCTGCCTCCACTGAAAATTGAACCCAGGGCCTCACATATGCCAGCCTCAGCAACTACAAAATGCTATATCACTGAGCTACAGAGGTATATTCCCAGACAGGCAGACAGGTTCATCCGTGTTTAAGTGTGTGTCAGAGTTTCCTTTTATCGCAAGGCTGAATAATTATTGTGTGTATGTATCACATTTTGTTTATCCATTCATCTATTGGTGGATATTTGGGTGGAAATTGGTAGTTGTGAATAATGTTACTGTCAGAATGAGTATACAGATAACTTTTCAAGTTTCCGTTGTCAGTTCTTATATACCCAGAATTGGAATTACTGGATCATGTGATAATTTTTATATTAAATATTGTTAAATTTATTTTGAGGGACTACTCTAAGCAAAAATAACCAAAACGGTTTTGATACCATTATGAAGGCACAAATAACTGGGACAGAAGCAAACCTCAAACAGATCAGCAAGCTTTCCTTTATTCTGCAGCGGAGTCAGTCAATCAGGCACTGGAGAGGCTCACTTTCTAGGTAGAAAAATAGCCTTAGATTACAGGAGAGGTCTGAGGTTATATAGGTTACACACTGGGAGATGACTTAACCATTGAAAACTTTTAACAGAACATATCAATATGGGCACTCAGGAAACAGGCTGTGAGAATTTGAAATTTGTTTTTATGGGAGAGGGTCCAGAGTTCAGCATTCAGTGTTTATCTCTTTCCCTCCAGGGTCTATTGTATTGTCACTGGGAAAGGATTTATTTGGGGAAGGATCAATGTTTTAGCTCCTTTTCAGAGACTCTTCTTTTTAGGCTTAATGGATATCTCTTTCCCAGGGATTGTCTTGTCACTGGGAAAGGACCCATGTTATCAGTGTGTTGTTTTCTTCCTCCCTCCCTCCCTCTTCCCAGGCCACACTGTTTTGGGGGTTGTCATTTCCATATCCTTCAACTACAGTACCATTTTTCAAAGTGACTGGACTATTTTTTTTTCCTACCAACAAAAGTTTAAGAGTTCCACCAGCTTGACAGCTGCTACTTTGTTAATTGGTTTATTTATAATCCTATTGGTTGTAAACTTGAATCTCCCACCCCCATCCTGCCCTCACTCAAGTACTGGAGATTGAACCCAGACACTTGTATTAGTGTGCTACATCCCCAGTATCTTTTACTTTGAGACAGAGTCTTGCTAAGTTGCCCACATGGCCTTGAACTTGTGATCCTTGTTCTTCCGGCCTTCTTAGTTGTCCTCACCAGTGTTTGGCTCTGGTAGTTTTGATTTGCATTTCCCTAAAGGCTAGTGGTGGGCATCTTTTTATGTGCATATTATTTTTTCATGTGCATATCAATTACATATATATCCTCTTTGGAGAAGTGTCAATTCAGGTATTTTTGTTCAATTTTGAATTGGTTCATTTCATAGTTGTTGAGTTGTAGGTGTAGCTAGTCTTTTTTTGGGGGAATTCCTGGGGATTGAATCCAGAGGTACTCCACTCTGAGCTACATCCCCAACCCTTTTCAAAAATTATTTTTACTATTAG